CTGCATTTATTGATATGATCATGTGATTTTTCTTCTTTAGGTTATTGATGTAATGGATTACATTAATTGGGTTTTTTTATTACGATAACATTTGTTTATAACATTATATAAATTTCAAGAACACATCATTATATATTTTGATTTCTGTGTAGATTACAACATGTTCACCACCCAAAGACTAATTACCATCCATCACTACACACATGTGCCTAATCACCCCTTTCACCCTCCTCCCTCCCCCTTTCCCCTCTGGTAACCACCAATCCAATCTCTGTTTCTATGTGTTTGTTTGTTGTTGTTTTCATCTTCTACTTATGAGTGAGATCATACTGTGTTTGACTTTCCCCCTCTGACTAATTTCACGTAGCATAATACCCTCAAGTTCCATCCATGTTGTCACAAATGGCTGGATTTCATCATTTCTTATGGCTGAGTAGTATTCCGTTATGTATATATACCACATCTTCGTTGTCAATTTGCCCCTTGGTGAGCACCTATGTTGCTTCCAAGCCTTGGCTATTGTGAATAATGCTGCAATGAACATAGGGGTTCATGTATCTTTATGAACTCACATTGTCATGTTCTTTGGAAAAATATCAAGCAGTGGAATAGCTGGATCATATGGTAGCTCTATTCTTAATTTTTTGAGGAATCTCCATACTGTTTTCCATAGTGGCTACACAAGTTTGCACTCCCACCAGTAGTGTATGAGGGTTCCCTTCTCTCCACATCCTCCCCAACACTTATTGTTTCCTCTCTTGTTAATTATAGCCATTCTGATGGGAGTGAGGTGATATCTTATTGTAGTTTTTATTTGCATTTGATAGCTAATGATATTGAACATCTTTTCATGTGCCTGTTGGCCATCTGTATATCTTCCCTAGAGAAATATCTGTTCAGATCTTTGCCCATTTTTAAATTGAGTTGTTAGTTTTTTTGTTGTTGAGATTTCTTTCAACAATGTTTTATAATTTTCAGTGTACAGATCTTTCACTTCTTTGGTTAAGTTTGTTCCTAGATATTTTATTCTTTTTGTTGCAATTGTAAGTGGGATTGTATTCTTAATTTCTCTTTCTGCTACTTCATTGTTAGTATATAAAAACTCAGCTGATTTTGGTATGTTGATTTTGTTTCCTGCAACTTGACCATATTCGTTTATTATTTCTAAAAAATTTTTGGTAGATTCTTTAGGGTTTTCTATATATAAAATCATGTCATCTGCAAATAGTAGCAGTTTCACTTCTTCCTTTCCAATTTGGGTCCCTTTTATTTCTTTTTCTTGCCTGATTGCTCTGGCTAAGACTTCCAATATTGTGTTAAATAAGAGTGGTGAAAGTGGGCATGCTTGTCTGGTTCCTGTTCTTAAAGGGATAGCTTTCAGTTTTTCTCCATTGAGCGTGATGTTAGCTGTGGGTTTGTCATTTATGGCTTTTATTATGTTGAGATACTTTCCTTCTATATCCATTTTATTCAGAGTTTTTATCATAAATAGATGCTGTATCTTTTCGAATGCTTTCTCTGCCTTTATTGAGATGATCGTGTGATTTTTATTCTTCATTTTGTTAAGGTGGTGTATCACGTTGATTGATTTGTGGGTGTCGAATGATCCCTGCATCCCAGGAATGAATCCCACTTGATCATGGTGTATCATCTTTTTAATGTATTGTTGTATTCAATTTGCTAGTATTTTGTTGAGAATTTTTTCATTGATGTTCATCAGTGATACTGGCCGGTAATTTTCTTTTTTTGCAATGTTCTCTGGTTTTGGTATCAGGTTTTGGTATCTGGTTTTGGTAATGTTGGCTTGGTAGAATGAGTTAGGAAGCTTCTCCTCCTCTTCAATTTTTTGGAAGAGTTTGTGAAGGATAGGTATTAAATCTTCTTTGAATGTTTGGTAGAATTCACCAGGGAAGCCGTCTGGTGCTGGGCTTTCATTTTGGGGGAAGTTTTTGATTACTGTTTCAATCTCCTTGCTGGTGATTGATCTGTTTAAATTGCCTATTTCTTCTTGATTTAGTTTTGTATGTTTTGAAGAATTCATCCATTTCTTCCAGATTATCCAATTTGTTGGTGTATAGCTTGTCATAGTATTCTCCTATAATCTTTTGCATTTCTGAGATGTCTGTTCTAATTTCTCCTCTTTCACTTCTGATTTTATTTATTTGAGCCTTCTCTCTTTTCTTCTTGGTGAGTCTAGCTAAGAGTCTGTCAATGTTGTTTGTCTTTTCAAAGACCAAGCTCTTGGTTTCATTGCTTTTGTCCTTTTTTTTTGTTTTTAGTCTCTATTTCATTTATTTCTGCTCTGTTTTTTATTATTTCCTTCCTTCTACTGATTTGGGGCTTTGTTTGTCCTTCTTTTCACAGTTCCTTTCAGTGCACTGTTAGATTGTTTATTTTGGATCTTTCTTGTCTGTTGAGGTGGGCCTGAAGCACTATAAACTTCTCTCTTAGACTGCTTTTGCCATATCCCATAGATTTTTGCATGTCGTGTTTTCATTTTCATTTGTCTCCAGGTAATTTTTGATTTCTTCATTGGCCCAGTCATTGTTCAGTAACATTTTGTTTAATCTCCACATGTTTGTGGTTTTTCTGATTTTCTTCCTGTAGCTGATTTCTAGTTTCATATTTTTGTGGTCAGAAACAATCCTTGGTATCATTTCAATTTTCTTAAAGTTATTGAGCCTTGTTTTGTGGCCTAATATGCGATCAATCCTGGAGAATGTTCCATGTGCATTTGGAAAGAATGTGTATTCTGTAGTTTTTGGATGGAATGTTCTATATATATCTACTAAGTCCATCTGATTTAATGTGCCATTTAAGACCAGTGTTTCATTATTGATCTTATGTTTGGATGATCTATCCATTGGTGTAAGTGGAGTGTTAAAGTCCCCTATGATTATTATGTTACTATCTATTTCTCCCTTTATGTCTGTTAATAATTGCTTTATATATTTAGGTGTTTCTGTGTTGGGTGCATAGATATTTACAAGTGTTATATCCTCTTGTTGGATTTTTCTTTTTATCATTATGTAGTGTCCTTCTTTGTCTCTTGTTCCAGTTTTTGTTTTAAAGTCTATTTTGTCTGATATAAGTATTGCTACCCCAGCTTTCTTTTCTTTGCCATTTGCATGGAGTATCTTTTTCCATCCCTTCACTTTCAGTTCGTGAGTTTCTTTAGGTCTGAAGTGCGTCTCTTGTATGCAGCATATATGTGGGTCTTGTTTTTTTATCAAATAAGCCATGCTATGCCTTTTGATTGGAGCATTTAGTCCATTGACATTTAAGGTATCTATTGATAAGTGTGCACTTATTGCCATTTTATTATTTTTCCTCTGGGTCTTTTAGTTGTTCTTCTCCATTTCTTTCTTCTTCTCTTGTTTTCTTCCCTTGCGGTTTGATGACTTTAGTATTATGTTTGGATCCCTTTCTCTTAATTTTTTGTGTATTTATTTTTATAGCTTTCTGGTTTGCAATTTCCATGAGGTTCATGTATAGTAATCTACGTATATAGCAATCTACATTGAGTTGATGGTCTCTTTAGTTTGAACTCTGTCTAAAAGCTCTACTCTTCCTCCCCTCCTCTCACATTTTATGCTTTTAATTTCGTATCTAAACCCCCACTAATTGATTTTTAAGTGTTAAGCCAGCTTTGCATAATTGGGACAAATCACACATGGTTATGGGGTATAATTCTTTTTGTATATTGCTGGATTAGATCTGCTAATATTTTGTTAACAATCTTTGCATCTATGTTCATTTAAGATATCAGTCTGTAGTTTTCTTTTCTTGTAGTATCCTTATCTGGTTTAATATTAGGGCAATGCTGGCCTCATAGAATGAGTTAGGAAGTATTCCCTCTGCTTTTATCTTCTGGAAGTGATTGTAGCAAATAGGTATAATTTATTCCAAAAGTCTTGTAGAATTTACCAGTGACCTCATTGGGGTTTGGTGCTTTTTGAAAGGTTATTAATTATAGATTCAATTTTTAATAGATATAGTCTTATTAAGATTGTCTATTTCTTCTTGTGTGAGCTTTGGCAGACTATAAGATTTTTCATAACAAATCAAGTTTATTAGTGATTATTAAACTATAATTTTTTACTTATTTATTTTTATTTAGTTATTTAGATGTCTGATTGGTTTTTTAAACTTTTGTCTGTCTCCCCCACTAGAATATATCCTCTGAATACAAAGATAATCATTCTTGTTCAATGTTGCATTAGAGTCCACCACAGAAATCAAAGAAGACCAAAATATATGCAGAGGTATACCATGTTCATGGATTGGAAAACAACATTGATTGGATGTCCATTCTCCCAAAATTGACGTATGGATTCAACTCAATCCCAATAAAAGTCTCAGCAGAATATATTTGTAGATATTTACAGGCTGATTTTAATGTTTAGGTGGAAAGGAAAAGAACTAGAATAACCAAAATAATTTTGAAAAATAACAAAGTTGGAGGGTTCACAACACCTAGTATCAAGAGTTACTACAACCCTGTAGTAAACAAAACCATGTGGTACTGGTGAAAGAATGGACACTAAATAAGTAGCTGATGAAGGAATAAATAATCCTAACAGTAAGCTAGCACAGTGGTTGGCCAACTTTCCAGAGAGGCCACAAATACTAATGTCAGTGATGATTCTGTCCCCCTGAAAAAATACAATTACTTGCAGAGAACAAATGCAATTTGTTTATTTAAAAGTATGATTTCCTCCGACTATAAAGGATTTATGTTCATGGACAATACTAAAACCATAGAATAGGAGAACCAAGAATTTACATTTTGAATATTATCAGAATCAAATCTTCTCTCTTCTTGTAACATAACAGAAGCATTTATAATTCCTTAATAACAAAGAGGTTCTTTGAAGTAAACATAGGTAGTATACAATCCTTACTTGACTGCAGAGATGATAAAATGGGGCATTCCTTGGAGGAAAAGAGTTAATCTTCAAACATTATTTCAGAGGTATAGGATATTCTAGAATGATGTTCTAGCAGCAAGAGGAATAACATCTTCTGTAGCAAAATGGTTGGTAAGTATAGCAGCCACAGCCATAGCCAGACCCATATCCACAGCCATATCTGGAACCATAGCCACAGCCATAGCCGCAGGCATATCTGGAACCATAGTCACAGCCATAACCACAGCCAGAGCCACAGCTATATCCACAGCCCCCATAGGAATTCCCATAATAGTTGCAACACATGGTGGCAGAGGATGAGGTTTCAGTTGACGGGCAAAAGAATGCTTCTGAAGTTTAAATGTCACCTATGACCCTGGAACCTTTCTATACCTACAGGAAGGGCCAGGGAATACCATCAGTTTTGTGATTCATGCAATAAATATTTACTTAATACCTAGTATGTGCAAATCTCTCCTGTCAGTTGATAATGAGAGGACTTGGTCTTTTCACAGAGACAGCATCTGTCTTAAATGAACCCATTATTATAGAGTCTCCAGTTTTATTGGGGAACCATGTTTGTTTTTTACCACTCAAGTGTTCTTTTCAGCCAATTATAAATCTATAAGGAAAATTTCCATCAATTACCCAATAATCTGAACACATGATAACAAAGATAAATTTTGTGAAACAAGGCTCCATGAAAGGTAGGGAAGTTTATGTTTGGAAATGCAACTGTTAGCATGGACTTGACTAATTATCTTGGCCATCTTAATAATTGCTAATTGTTTTATAGGAGATTTCATTAGAGCTCAATGCTGTCCTATACAGAAAACCCTCAATATTTTATGTCATAAAATTTTTATGAATCCAAATACTCATGAATATAGTATTCTGATAACATATCACCCCAATAGCAATTCTTTCAATAAATTTTTATCGACTCTATATGGTCGTTTAGTTCAAACCAGAACAACACACACACGAAAAAAACATCCTTTGTAGTAACACTCTTGAATATTTTTTAAATCACACATTTCCTTTAGACATTTTAATCTGTTTGATCCCAATGAAAATGGAAAAATGTAGGTAACTAATAGTATGGAAATTGGGGTACAAAGAGGATAGGAAATTTACTGAGAGTCACACAGCTAATATATTACCAAGATCAAGTATTTGTTCTTCTTTGTTATTCTACATAAAGTCTGCCGTTCTAATCACTGGACACTTGAACACTTGCTGTAACAGAGAGCTTATTGCTTCTTATGGTGACCCATTTCTCTGTGAAATTACTCTGTTATAAAATCCCCACATGCTTCAGAGTCTCTCATTATTCCCAATGTCACTTTGGCTCCTAAATAAAGTGTATTTCAGTGTTGTGTTAACAGGCCAGTCCCATCAAGTACAGCTAAGAGTGCCTCTCATTCTTTCACTTTAACCCAGAGTCCTCTCTCCTTGATACCCATTGGTATGACTTGTCCCTTGATCTCTACTGATATGCAAAGATGATGTTCACATCATCTAAATCAACCATACCTCCTACTAGATAATTCAGAGAAGAGTACGGGAAGCCTGTTGTAAGTTACCACAAAAACAGCTGCTTAGAACAACACCTATTTATTATCTTACAGTCTGGGTGGATCAGGAGTCTAAGCACAGCCTAACTGGGATCTCTGCTCAGGGTCTCACAATATTGCAATCAAGGTGTTAGCCAGGACATCTGAAAAATCTCTTTGCTGTATAACTTACCTAGAGTTGCCAGATTTGCAAGTATATCCCAAATATTGCATGAAACATACTAAAAAGTTATCTGATTTTATCTGAAATTCATTTTTATTCATCTTGATTTTTATCTGCCAACCCCAAGCATAACAATCACAAGAGTGATAGCTCATCATCTTTGTCAAGGTTAGAAGCGAGTTACAGGTCCTGCTCACACTGAAGGGGAGGGGACTCACAAAAGTGTATGTCATGAGAGATCACCTTAGAGTTCAGCCTACCCAAACCTGTGAATTTATTCCTTAAGCCCAACTAGTGATAACATTTTCTCCAGGATAGGTAACATCTATGGCAACAAAGTTTCAGTGCATGGACACTTTCCAAAATATATTTCCTCTTTCTCTCCTGTCCAGAGGCTCTTTCCCTTCTTGTAAGATTAACCAACTCCTATTCATCCTTCATATTTCAGCTAGAAGTTTGTCTCTCTTTCAGAAATATTCCTGACCCTTCTCTCTATTTACTCTTAGTCCTGGGCTCTCTTCTGACTTTTTCCTCTTTATTTCCTTAACAGTCCTGTTACAATTGTATCATAGCAATATTCAGATCTTTGTAGCTTGTGAGATTTTTTTTGTCTTTTCCACACTTTTAGAAAGCAAGGATGAAATATTTTAGTTCTCTATTCATAGAACAAAATAAAATGTCCTTTATTAGTAGCTTAATAAATGTTTGATGAATGAGACTACTTATTCATCTAACTCATAAGAAATAGTTCTTCAAGAATAACAATCTATCCATCCATCATTTTTTGCCCTTCCTTTTCTCAAGCCTACAATTTCTTTCAAGATTCAAGGGATTCTAGGAACACTGAATTTATTTAACCAGGGGTGGTCAAATTTTGACTCAAGTTCTGACAGTCTTTCTACATCCCAAATGAAGATAGGATTTCCAAAGCCAAAATATTATAACTTGCCTTCTCCTCCCAGTTATAGAAACATAAAAGATTCCAGTTCTGTATTTTCCCAGTGTCAGCATCACCATTTTTACAATCTGTCTTCGAGGCTCAAATTCATATGTAACCTACAGTATCCTAGAACAAAGTGGAGACAGAAATAGATAGGTAAGATTTGCTAATTCCACCCCTCTCCTTGAGTTTATAATTTCCTCCTAAAATCACCCTAGTAGTGGGTAATCCTGCATGGGTTTAGACACATCTGGTGATAGAGCACTTAATGAGGCAGTCACTCTTCTTTCTGATTTTGTCACATATTAAGAAGGGCTCTTGTGTTGAGATCATCCATTCAATTCACCATATTTAACATCTCTAGAAGGACACAGAGAACATTAACAATACTAGTCTTACTAATTTTGCAATACCAGTCTTTCAGATATATAAATGTATATACTACCCTCAGTTCCCACAATTCTAAGTGCTAAGAAGAAATACATAATTTTTAGAAATTATCTAGTCTAGGCTTTTCTCCCTTCTCCTTCACTGTTGATGTCTAAGATCTTATAGGTTATACCTTCACTGAGTCCCTGATAACCATCTGTTCCTTTTCATTATTGATGCCACCACTCAAATCCAGGCTCATTAACTGTTGAACTTTCCAACACATTTTTTTTACCATTATCGTTTTCCCAAAGCAGATTTTTCTGAGGGATTTGTCTGTCTGTATGGGTGCACATGTTGATGAGTATATGAGTGCTGATTAATATGGAAAGAAATAAATGGGTAGATCCAGGGTTATGAAACACAAATGCTTAATAGCAAACCCTCAAGTAAAATGAACTAAGAACACAAGATTTAGCCAATAAGGAGCCATTTTTTCAGGGATAAAATTCAAGATGTGTAACATTCAGCATGTTACAGGTAGTGACCAATCAGAATGGAAGCTAGATATACACAATTGGAATGAAAAGCTGAGCATAAGCCCTGCTGAGGAGGTCACAGAAATAGAATACAAAAATAAGAGTCAATAACATATCTGACACAAAAGATACACAAACTTATTAGGACCGATGAAACATTTATTTGGAAATAATCACAATATAGAAACATAGACTAAGAAGATAGTGGGTTTACACTTGGACTTTGGCCAAAATGAGGTCTTCTGCCTTCCAGAAACATCATGGAGTAACTCAGGCCCTCTCAATAACAAACAAGACTTTCAAGAAGACAATCAGTTTTCTGCAGGCTCTGACTACTCTCTATTCAGTGGGATGTAGTATGATTGTGAAAATTTGTAACAGATATGGCCTTAGAATGATCATTTTACAGGAAAAGGTGCACTGCAGTTACATTCTAGCAGCAAGAAGAATAATATATTCTATAGAAAAAAGGCTGGTAGCCACAGCAGGCAGAGCCATAGCCAGACCTGTATCCACAGCCAGAGAGACAGCCAGAGCCAGAGCCAGAGCCATAGCCACAACCACAGCCATATCCAGAGCCGTACCCACAGCCATATCGAGAACCATAGCTACTGCCATAGCTGCAGCTACCACATGAGTTTCTGTAGGAGTTGAAGCACATGATGTCTACAGGTGGAGGTTCTACAGAGGAGCAAGTGGAGGTTTCTGAAGTTTGAATGTCATCTTTTGCCCTGAGACCTTTATATACTACCAGAAATGGGTGGGGCACACAACCTAGACTTTGTCGCCTCATCACCACAGCAGTTTTCATTTTTAAAAAGCTCATGATTCTAAGGACAATAATTTTTTTCAGATAGTTGTGTCCAGGATATGGCCTTTAGCTAGTCATAAGAATTATGAAAAAACAATTGTAACCTACTCATGAACAAGTATGTCTTGTGGAATGTACCAAGCCTATTTTAGATTTTCACTCCAGGGAATATCAACTCTCCTGCAATTCCAGGTCAACATACTTGGGCACTGGGAGATGCTCTAGCATCTCACATCTTAGCATCAACAGGAATGGGCCCAGACTGGAAATGAGACGCAAACAGCAAGGGCATAAGGTGAGGCATTCCTAGGTTATACCCACAAGAAAGTGGATGGATCCCAGGTAGAATGGCCATTGCAGTGGGGGCTGGAGCAGGAAACAGGTGAGATGAAAAAGACCTGAACTGGTGTAACACAAGGGTATGCACCCATGATTTTGTCCAGTGCAATATAATCCACTCTATTTAAGAGTTCTTGGAAATTTTCAGTGTGATAGTTTAGTCTATACCTCATGTAAGAATTCCTGGACATCCATAACATGCATTAGGCAATAATTCCTCTGTTCTTCCATAGTTCCCTGTGCCTAACTCTATTGTGGTAATCAATATGTTGTATTAGCATGCTCTATTTTAATTACCTGATTCCCTCAGTCAATTGTGAGTTATTTAAGGCTGATAATTTTGTGTTTATTTTCTGTGAATCTAAAGAACCAGGCACTAGCTAACTATTGAATGAGAGCCTATAAGATTTCTTCCACCTGTAAAAATCTTTGTGTGTGTATGTGTGTGAGGAAGATTGGCCCTGAGCTAATATCTGTTGCCAATCCTGCTCTTTTTTCTTGAGGAAGATTGTTGCTGAGCTAACATCTTGTCAATCTTCCTCTATTTTGCATGTGAGATGCCACCACAGTACGGCTTGACAAGCGGTGCTAGGTCTGCTCCTGGGATTGGAATCTGTGAACCCTGGGCTACCAAAGTGGAGCACACCAGGTTAACCACTACACCACCAGGCCGGCCCCTAAAAATCATTATTTTAAGGTATGGGAAATTATGTAAGAAAATAATAATAATAATAAATAACAACATTTCTATTTTCCTCTATAGCTTTTGAGGCACACTTACATTTATGACCTCATTTGATTCTTACAAAAACAATGTAAATTAGGAATTTGTGTTATTTGTATACACATGTTACAGATGAGAATACAAAGGTCAAGGATAGTTAAGTCTTGCTCAAGGACTCTAAGCTGTTTAGTTGTTGAGTTGAACTGTTTCAACTAGTACTATAACATAAAACATTTTGAGTAGAAATTATGGTAACTTTTCTAGACTTCTCAAATGTTAGTTGATGTAAGGAAGAATCACCCTAGATCAGCAACTTCCATGCCAAACTAAGAACTCAGATTCCCAGGTTTGTCTTCTAATTATGATTGTCGCACTTTTACAATTTTCTCCACTAAAATATGTTCAGCATTGGCTCCATTCCTGCAAACTCCATGACTCTTTCCGCATTTAACATGTCACCTGCTTTCTTCCCAACACAGCTTTAGCATGACTATATTTATTTGCATTGTTCCATTGATTGTTTTTCTAGACAGTGACTGAACAGTACAATTTAATTTTACAAGAATTTTTGAGTACTTACATCACGCAAGTGCTATTCCAGGGCATAGAATATTGAATAAAAAATATGTAGCTAGAGCTCAAGGACAAGCTCTGTGCTTTAGAAACTCTCCAAGGAGAGCGAATCACCATTTCCTTTGGACCAGTCTCTCATTTCACCACACGCTATTGAAAACTTAGAGTATTTTCAGGCTTTGAATTCCCTCACCCATTCAATCTTCAATTTACTGCAATCAATATTCACCGTTATCATATCCCCCCTACCAAAAACAATTCTTCACTGAAGATCCCATACCTTTTGCCGAATCCAATAGAAACTTCTAAAGTAATTAATACAATTTGATGATAAAGTAAAAAGCAAGACCAGATCATCAGAAAAGAAGCTACTCCTCTGAAACCCACTAATTTGTTACTAAAAATACAATGACAAACATTATGTCAAGTTACTTGGTGTCACAGCATATGTTAGAGTTCATAATTACGAGATACATGTATGATAGATGTACAAAACATCTAACTTGGTAATGTGCCTATGTATTTGACATGAGAAAATTGACATTATGGATTAAATTCTGAGATTATCAAAATATTGTCAATATTAAGCATAATGTGTAAGGTTGAGCCACATAAAATTGCCATTTTGTATGTTAAAGATGGTTAAATGTCTTTAATTTTATATTAAGCAACCTAATTATAAATATAATACAAAATCTACTGTGTTCTCACAGTGGTAGAACTTCGCATATTTTATTTAATTTGGTACTCTCAACAATCCTGATCTAGCATTATTTTATCATTTTATCCTTGAGTATACTGAGGCTCAGAGGAGTTAAATAATGTGCCCATGATCACACAGCTAATAGCTGATGGAGCCTATACTACAGGGAAAATGGTGGGACTCTGGAACCCAGGCTTTTAATCACTATCTATACAATTTTCTTTTTGTAAGTGTGATCATTTGGATGACCTTGAGGAAATGATATCTCACAGAAGAAGAGAACAGTTAACAACAATGTTTCATGTGCAGGAGAACATGGATATCAACTTAAAGCAGATTCTAAAGACTTCTGGACACAGAGCAATACTGTAGCCTTTCCTCATTAATTTCCATGGATCTTTCCTTTTTCTTTTTCTTCTTTTTCAGACTCATGATTAATACGTACCTATTGCAAAACTTTCAAAGAAATAAACTTCTTCTCAAGGACAGGAAGGATATGGGCAGTGGTGTGCTGTTAATTGTTTAATGACCTCTGCTGGGGGTAGGGGGTTTGATTTGCCAATTTCCGTGCGGTAAACACTCCTAGCATGACTAGTTTCAAGTTACTAACTGGCTTATGACATTTCTGAAAGTCTATACCATCTTCTAGTACTTGAATAAATGAACTTTCATGTTTAGAACTTTAATCAGTATGGAATTTCTTTTGTGTATGATGTAAGGCAAGTATGTATCTTTTCTGTATCCTAAACAGATGGCAAATTGATCAATCCCATTTAGTGGATAAACTATCTCAGATGAAAACTTTGTCCTTACTAGGCACTCCCCTGGAGTCTTTAGCACTGGCTACTGTGGTCTTACTGGCTCAGAATGATCTACTCCCTGTATGTTGATAACATGGCTAGATTGCCTGATCTTTCCTGGCGGCCTACACAACCTCTCTTCCTAGCCAGAGTCCTCTCTTGGCCAGCTTGTTATAACCTTCTACAACCACATTGTACAGACAGACACAAGTGATTTAATTTTATAGCATATTTTATTTAACCTAATATATCCAAAATGTTATCACAATATATAATGAATATTTTTAATTATTTGATATACTTTTCATTCTTCTTTTATACTGTCTTTGAAATCTGATGTGTACTTTATACTTACAGTGCATTTCCTTTTGGACTAGCCACATCTCAAGTGCTCAGTAGCCACATCTCTCTAGTGGCAACAAGATTGGACAGTGTAGCTTACGAGAAGCTGAGAATTGCTCTATGGATGTATCCACTGATTATCATTTTTCCAATAGAGGTTACTACTGTGGCAATATGCTGCCAGCAATTTTACTTCTTTTTCTAAATTCCTCTGCCTTTCCTTTTATTTTCCTTCTCATGTAACTGACCAAGTTCAACTCATCCTTTATGGCTCTGCTCATATCTTATCCTCCCCTGGAACTAATTTCTGTCTCTGGTCTAGCCTTCCCTTTCCACATTCTGACTGATTTAGGTTTCCCCATGAATTCTTCCTCGGCAGCTCCATAACATTTGTAAACACGCCTGCAATAATGTGAACGTATAATTTACTATTTTGTATCCAACTGAATAGTTGAATTCTTGGAAGAAAGAACTATGTCTTATATCTCTGTCCCCAGTACGAATCACAACACATAGCTGGAACACAGATTTTTAAGATTTGTGAAATGGCTAAAAGAACAAACAACTGACTTTACTATTTAGAGTTTCTAAAGTATTCAATAGCTCATCAAAGGAAAGGATTTTGTGTTTCCTCATGAAGGAGATTTAAAGCTTAAATCATATCCTTCTATGAAAAGTACTCACTTACATCAATTTTGTTCCATTTCCTCCACAATGTGATTTGACATGTGAAGCCAAATGTTCGTTTTTGCCAGCCTTCATCAATCCATGCCACACGTGCACACATGCACACGTGCAAACTTTCTCTAATTTTATCAGCCCTGTCTCTCTTAAAATTATCACCATTTTCTCATTTCACTGAAGCTGAAACTCTCAAATTTTCTTTCAATAAGAGTTACAACATTTCAGATTTTGAAAATATGCTAAACAGTTTCTTAAAACCCTTTTCAGGATATATAAATTATCTTATAAGTGGTTAGTAAGTAATACTCTTCCATTTTTCAAAATGCCTTCAATGACAAGAAACATGATGAAACAATAAGTTAGATTTTTAAGGAGCTATGGTGGTAAGAATTCCCTTCCCCTGTTTGTAAGGCTAACCTCAGAGTTACTCAGACCACGGTCAGTCCTCAGATCTGACTTACAAATGTTCCAGCTGTGAAAATTGTCCTGCCCTCAAGAGAACTCCTATTTCTTCATCAGTTGGACAAATTATGCCCTGGGAATAACCTCACTTCAGGGATCGTTTTGATGGCAGGGCCATCTTCCTTGGAATTGTCCATTTTGTGGGGTCTCCTAGCTCCAAGGACCTCAGAGTCAGAGTTTTTGCAGTAACTGCTGTCCTGGAGATGAGACAGTGACACATTTATCACTGCTGGTTAGAACTGAGTCTAAAAGGCTCTGTCTGTTGTAGGATCTAAATGTTAGGGGTTGGAAGGTTAGACGAGGGAAGGACAGTAAAGTCAGAACCCAACAAAGTAGTAGGCTCCCCGATGCAGAAAGTAGACCAGAAATTTTAATGCCATTTTTATATCTGTCTCACTGAGGCACTAGACCTTGCTCTTTTCCAGTGGAAAATGTGGCACCCCCTGATCATACCCAAAACCTAATAAACTTCTCTTCCCCTTTTATACTTGCCACTGTCCATTCTGGTCTTCTTAGCAAATGGCATCAGATCATTTATCACAACCTCAAAATACCTTTCTAAACTATCTCTCTAAAACGTCAGCCCTTACTCTATTTCCCATTAAGCTCTTTTATTCCCTGCATAGCAATTAACTGTCTGAATTTATCTTAATTGTTCTTTACTTTTTTTTTTTATCTTCATCTTCTGCAATAGAAACACTCTGAGAGCGGGAAAGATATCTATAATTTTCCTACTGTGTCTTCAATGTCTAGCATGGTTCCTTTTCAACAATATTCAAAAATATTTGTTAATTAAGTGACTTAAATCAATTTCCATAACCTCAACATACACAAACAAATCTATTTGCACTTCCATCAAATGCAGATGCTATGACAGAATATTACTCTTCTAACTTATCCTTTTCTTAGGTTTTTATTACTCATGTGCTTAACATGTGAGTCTGCTTCTAATATCTCATTAACCCTGGAATTTCTCTTTCATTCCAGTAATTCTTTAGGAACTCAGCCAACTCTCCTCTCCCTCATATTTTTGTCATAACCTCCTGAATAGGTGTCAATCCTCCCCCTTTTTTCCCCTCCAGCTCCATTCTAGAAACATACAATTTCCACAACACAGTTCTGAAATACTCTGTGACTCATGGTTGGGTAGGTGAGTGTCTGAGCATGTGGAACACAAGAAAGAGGTGAAGAACACATTATTTACGATATCAGTATAAGAGTAAATGTCTGTATTTTATCAAGGAAAAACCCAAGTTCAGGCAACCTATTTTTAGTCCAATTTTCAAAAGAGGCCATAAGATCTCAACCAGGAGTAATTCACAAACAAGTACACAGAGAATTGTTACAAACAAAGATCTGTTTTTATTAAGAATAGATGACTTGCCACACTGTAGGATGTTGGAACCATCAAGACAGACATAACAGAGATCACAGACTAAAGGATAAAGGCTAATATTTGGAAAATAGTCAGATGATACATCAGAGCCTGGGACCACAATGATGGAATTATAAAAATGGGTAGTTGGACATCAAAGCCCCCAGCAAGCATGTAATTTCCTGGATATAGAAGTCAGGGGTGCAGATCCCTGTATCAACCTATCTTTAGACATGTCATTTTAGAAGTAAAGGAGGCTTGGATAGTGATGTTCTAGCAGCAAGAAGAATAACATCTTCTATAGCAAAGTGGCCTGTAGCCACAGTAGCCAGAGCCAGAGCTGTATCCACAGCCATAGCTGGAGCCATAACCACAGCCATATCCAGTTCCATAACTGCAGCCATAATGGGGGCTATATCCACAGCCATATCCGCAGCCATATCTGGTTCCATAACCACAGCCATAGAGGGGGCTGTATCCATAACCATAGCCGGTCCCATAACTGCAGCCATAATGGGGGCCAAACCCACAGCCATAGCCATATCTGCAGCCATAGCCACAGGAGTTGCCATAGTAGTTGCAACACATGTTGTCAGGAGAAGAGAATTCAGTTGGGTTGCAAGAGGAGGTTTCTGAAGTGTGTGTGTCTTCTACTTCTCCTGGCCCTTTATATACTGTCAGTAATTGGCAGAGCATACCATTCATCCCTGACTTAGCCACAAAATATGTAAACAACTTGTATGTGCCAGTTGCTGCTGACAATCATTAACAATGGTTTGCTTAAAATGAGCTCATTATTTTAGACTCTCCAGTTTCAATTAAAGAGCATCATTTACATTTACTCTGCCAAAGAATTGTCTCAATAGAATCATGTGCCCAAATGTAAAACTGATACCCATTTTCAAACCCTTCTATTATTAAATAGCTACCTCACACAACTATGTTGTGGGGGAGTTATAGGAAAATTTTGTCCTTTTGGTCGCTACTCTTTCCTAAAATGTCTGCCTTGGCCCATAGGGAAAGAAATACTCCCATCTCCTTTCTTGAAGCATTGCAACATCTTGCCAGGCTTCTCAAACTCAGATACCTACTGTCAGATATCTACTAGTTTCTTGTAGCAGAAAACAAGGATGATGCTAACTCTCTAAGGCACAGAACAGCCCCCAACAACCAAGAAACATCTAGGCCAAAGTATCATGGCACTGAGATCAGAAATCTTGGCTTATAGCTCTGCCTCTATAAATAAGCTCTTCTACCTGTAGGTGTCTCAATCCAAACATGCCCTTTCCTCTCATTCTATCCCAAACATCTGAACTTTCCATCACCAAATGTGCAAAGAGAGTGTTTTTTGTTTGTTTGTCTGGGGGAATTCTTTTTGCTCATCTTGCTTCTCTAGGTTTTACTTAAATCACCATTTTCAGAATCCAGTGGACTCCAAAACTAAATATTGCTTATGTAAAAACTATGAAATCCAACTTAGAAGCGAGTAGGAACTCAGGAAGATCATTCTTTCTACTGGATACTGGAATTTCACAACAAATGAATGAGTGGTGATCCACTACTTTATTAAGTACCTTCAACAGGCATTTTCACAAAACCGCTGATTTCGTTTTCTGAGAAATTTCATTATTACACATTTTTCCTTCATTAAGGAATCTTCCTATTTCTTTATATTGATCACAGGTCTAATCTGATCACTGTGTGATGTTTCATTACTAATAGTAAATATTAAGAAAGTACATCCCCATACCAACTTTTCTTTTCCTTTATTTTGTCTCCTTTTCTGTCATCCTTGAAAGTCAAAACTATAAATTCTGTTTCACAAATTCCCTGGCATACACACTTTACTTTTTAATACTACTTTCAACACCCACTTTTAGGCCACAATACTCCTGGATTGTTGAAAAACTATTCTATCTTGATTTCATTATTTCTACTATTTTTCCATTCAGATCTCTGGATACTGCTCCATAATGGTGGCAGTGTGTCTATTTTCTGCAGCCCTGAATAACCTGTTCTGAGTTCAATGCCTGGTACATAGTTGACCCTAGATCAATATTTCGCCAATAGAAAATGGTGCATAAAATCAAATACACATTCAGCTGTTGGTCTGCCACTTATGAGCTATAAGATATTTAGATATATTACTGCCATCTTCTCTTTTAACTCAAACTGAAACTCTCAAATGTTCTTTCTCTGAGAGAGTGACAAGATTTCAGACTTTGAGGAAGTTTTAAGTGTAAGTTTGTGAGGACCCATTTTGAGATAATTAAGTTGTCTTAAGAAATGATAGACTCTTTACTGGATACGCAAATGATCTTACACATGCTAGTAAGTGATATTCTTCCATTTTGCAGAATGCTTTACATAATAAAAAAACAATGAAATAATAAGTTAGATTTTTAAGGAGCTGTAAGCATTAGAATTCCCTTCCCCTGTTTGTAATACTAACCTCAGAGTTACTCAGAGCACACTCAGTCCTCAGATCTGACTTACAAATGTTCCAGCTGTGAAAACTGTCCTGCCCTTGAAACAACCCCTCTTTCTTCACCAGTTGGACAAATTATATCCTGGGAATAGCCTCACTCCAGGCTCGCCTTGATGGCAGGGACATCTTTCTTGGAATTGTCCATTTTGTGGGGTCTCCCAGCTCCAAGGACCTCAGAGTCAGAGTTTGTGCAGTGACCCCTGTCATAGAGATGAGACAGTGACACATTTATCACTGCTGGTTACAACTGAGTCTGGAAGGCTTTTTCTGTGGTACGATCTAAATGCTAGAGTTCTGGAAGTTCAGAAAAGGAAAGGACACTAAAGTCAGAACCAAACAAAGTAGTAGGCTCTCCAACCCAGCAAATTGACTGTAATTTTTAATTCCATTCTTATGTCTTCCCTAGCCAAAGAGAGCCCCATTAAGGCACTAGACTTTGCTCTTTTCCACTGGAAAATGTGGCGACACCAGATTATACTTGAAACCTAATAAAATTCTCTTTTCACTTTACGCTCGCTACCATCCTCCCTAGTCTTCATCCAACTGGAATCAACTCGTTTGTCACAACCTCAAATTCCTCCCTGAACTATTTCTCTAATCCTTTAACCCTTTCTTTCTCATTAAGTTGTTTTATTCCCTCTGTGGAAGTTATCTGTCAGAATTCATTTTAATTATTCTTTACTTTTTTTTTAACTTCATCCACTAGAATGTAAACACTCTGAGAGCAGGTCAGATATCTATAATTTTCCCACTGTGTCTTCGGTGTGAGGGATGGTTTCATGTCAAAAATATTTGTCAATTAACAAGTTAAATCAACTTCCACAACCTCTATATATACAAATCTATTTGCACTTCCATCAAATGAAGATGAGGTGACAGAATATTATTCTTCTAACTTATTCTTTCTTTGTTTTTCTTCCTCATTTGCTTAACACTGAGTCTACTTCTAATTTCCAAATAACCCTGGAAGCAATCTTTTTCATTCCATTAATCCTTTAAGCTCAGAAGCCACATTATCTCTCTCTAGGACTTTTGCCTTGACCTCCTGAAGATGTGTCATCCCTTCTCTTCTTTTCTGTTGTGCTTCGTCTAGACACAATGCGATTTCTAAAGCACAATTCTGCAATACTGTGTGAGTGTTCTTGGGTAAGAGGATGTCTGAGCATGTGGAATATGAGGATTAGGTAAAGAAGATACCATTTATCATGCAGGTATAAGAAGAAATGCTTGTACTATGCCAAAGTAAAATCCCAATTCAGGCAAGCTATTTTTAGCCAAATTTCCAGAGAAGCCATATCATTTCAAAAAAGGAGTTATTGACAAGCAAGCACACAGAGATTTCTTAGAAAGAAAGAACCACTTTTATTGAGAATAAGTGATTTGGCCCATTGTGGGGTATTAGGATCATCAACATAGTCACATCAGAGAATCAGAGACTAAGGAAGTAATGCTAATGTTTGGAAAATAGATGATACCTCAGAACTTCAGACCACAATACTATTCTAAATATGGATAGTTGGAGGTCAAAGCCTCTGTAAAGTTGTAATTTGGGGGTATAGAAATTGTGGGGTCCAGATTGTTGAATCAGCATTATCCTTAGATACACCATTTCAGGAACAAATGAGGCTTGGATAGAGATGTTCTAGCAGCAAGAAGAATAATATCTTCTGTAGAAAAATGGCCTGTGGCCACAGTAACCAGAACCAGAGCCATATCCACAGCCATAGCAGGAACCGTATCCATGGCCATATCTGGTTCCATAACCACAGCCATAATGGGGGCCATAGCCACAGCCATAGCCACAGTCAGACCCACAGCCATAATAGGGGCCAAACCCACAGCCATAGCCATATCTGCAGCCATAGCCACAGGAGTTGCCACAGTAGTCGCAACACATGTTGTCAGGAGAAGAGAATTCAGTTGGGTTGCAAGAGGAGGTTTCTGAAGTGTGTGTGTCTTCTACTTCTCCTGGCCCTTTATATACTGTCAGTAATTGGCAGAGCGTACCATTCATCCCTAACTTAGCCACAGAATATGTAAACAACTCGTATGTGCCAGTTGCTGTCGACAATCATTAACAATGGTTTGCTTAAAATGAGCTCATTATTTTGGAGACTCCAGTTTCATTTAAAGAGCATCGTTTACATTTACTCTGCCAAAGAATTGTCTCAACAGAATCATGTGCCTGAATGTAAAACTGATACCCATTTTCAAAACCTCCTATTATTAAATAGCTACCTTACACAACTACGTTTTGGAGGATTGCAGGAACATTTTGTCCTTTTTGTCGCTACTCTTTCCTAAAATGTCTACCTCTGCCCATAGGGAAGGAAATGCTCCCATCTCCATTCTTGAGTCATTGCAACTTCTTTCCAGACTTGTCCCACTCAGATACCTACTGTCAGATACCTACTAGTTTCTTATGGTACAAAATAAGGAGGATACTAATTCTCTAGGGCACAGAACAGCCCCCAACAATCAAGAAACATCTTGACCATAGTGTCATGGCACTGTGATCAGTTTGTGAGTGTCTTTAGGTCTGAAGCATGTTTATTGTATGCAGCATATATATGGGTGTTGTTTTTTGATCCAATTGGCCGCCCTATGCCTTTTGATTGGAGCATTTAGTCTATTAACATTTAAAGTAGCTATTGATAAATATGTATTTATTGCCATTTTGTTACTTTCTTTTTTTCTGGGTGTTCTGGTAGCTCTTCTCTGTTCTTTCCTTTTTCTCTTGCTCTCTTCCTTTGTGTTTTGATGGTTTTCTTTACTAATATGTTTGATTTCTTTGGTCTTACTTATTTGCTTACTTATTATAGGTTTCTAGTTTGTGATTACCATGAGGATCCTATATAATATTCTATGTATAGAGCAGTCTATATTGAGTTTATAGATTCTTTAGCTTGACCTCTTTCTAAAAGCTCTACTTTTTCACTCCCCTCCTCCCACCTTTGATGATTGTGAAATCATATCTAATCTCTTGTTTTTTGTGTGTCTATCCATTACCCTCTTATCACTGAAATAGGTGACTTTAGTTCTTTAGTCTTTTAACCTTCATATTATCTTCACTGGTGGTTGATCTGCTACCTTTACTATATTTTTTCCTTTGCCAGTGATTTTATTGCCTGGTTTTTTGGGGGGTTATTTTGAGAATTTTTTTATCCGTATTTGTGGTCATTGCTTTCCCACTTAAATAAGTCCCTTCAGCATTTCTTGTAAACTGGTTTCTTGGTGATAGACTCCTTTAACTTTTGCTTGTCTGGGAAGCTCTTTATCTCTCCTTCCGTTCTGAATGACAACCTGATGGATAGAGTATTCTTGGCTGTAGGTTTTTTCCTTCTAGCACTTTAAATACATCATGCCATTCTCTTCTTGCCTGTAGGGTTTTGGCTGAGAAGTCTGCTGATAGCCTTATGGACTTTCCTTTATATGTCACTTGTTGCCTTTGTCTTGCTGCTTTTAGGATTCTCTCTTTATCTTTAATTGTGAACATTTTAATTATAATGTGTCTTGGTGTGGGCCTCTTTGGGCTCATCTTTCTTGGAGCTCTCTGTGCTTCCTGTACTTGGATGTCTGTTTCCTTCCTTAGGTTAGGAAAATTTTCAGCTATCATTTCTTCAAATAGATTTTCCACCCCTTTGTTTCTCTCTTCTCCTTCTGGGACACCAATAATATGAATGTTAGTGTACTTGATATTGTCCCGGAGTTCCCTTAGACTGTTCTCATTCTGTCTAATTCTTTTTTCTTTTTTCTGTTGAGCCTGGGTGATTTCCTCTAGTCTTTTGTCTAGCTCACTGATCCATTATTCTGTATCCTCTACTCTGCTATTGAGTCCCTTTAGTGAATTTTTCATTTCCAGTGTTGTATTCTTCATTTCTGATTGGTTCTTTTTTATATTTTCCAATTCTTTGTGATGAGCTCACTGTGTTCATCCAGTCTTCTCCCAATATCTGTGAGCATCCTTATGAGATTTTGTTTGAACTCTTTGTCAGGTAGGTCACTTATTTCTGTTTCATTTAGTCATTTTCCTGGAGTTTTGTCCTGTTCCCTTCCTTGGAATGTATTCCTTTGTCTCCTCATTATGCCTCTTTCTCTGTGCTTATTTCTATGTATTAGAGGAGTTGGCTATGTCCCCTGATCTTGGAGAAGTGGCCTTATGTAAGAGATGCCTTTTGAGGCCCAGCAGTGTGATTTCCTCTTGCCACTAGTCCAAATGATCTGGATGTGACCCCTTTGTGGGCTACTTGTGTCCTTCTGCTGTGGCAGGGTTGTTCCCACTGCAGGTACCCAGGGAGTCTAGTCTTTCTTTCTCTGACCAGCTGTTTGTAAATCTGGTTTGGGGAGCCTTATCACCATTGGCTACAAGATCTAAGAGCACACTCCTGTTGCATTTTTCCTGTTAATTGGGAGGTACCCAGTGTAGCTGGTGCTAGGCTCAGGGGCTTACAGTTGCTATAGGTCTCAGGCCTACAAGACTGTTGTCAGTTCTTTAGGAGTGCAGCTGAGTGGGGATGGCCCTAGGCATGGGAGCACTCAATTGTTTCAGGCTTTGGAAGGTGGGGCTTATCCTTTCTATGGTGATTTGTGGAGCACAGGTCTTCTGCCACTGATAAGCCTTTGCCCCCATAGGACCACACACACCATCAACACTGTCCTGGTCCATGCACACTTCCCAACCCCATGGTGTATACCCTGATTTCCCACTGCAGAGGCCCCCACCTCTCCACCAATGCCCCCCACAGTTCACCTGGTCCTCACATAGGCTCTGTCCCACAGAGGCAGGCACACTCACTAGCCTGTAGAGGATCAAGGCACCCAGTCAATCCAGGCCAACAAGTAGCCTGAAGGCTTGGTGTTGGGTGGAGCTTGTCCCTAGGGCATGCTGCCTGCCCTGACTAAACTAGATTAAATCTGCAGTCTAGTGGGTGTGGCAGACCCCTGGGCTAACAGGCCAAGGGAAGAACTTCAAAGGTGTCTTCCAGGGTCTGTGTCAACATGCCTGGACTAGGTGACAACAATGGCAACGACCAATGTCTCAGTCTCCCGAGAGGTCTCTCCTCTCACCGAGATGCATCCAGAGCCTACCAGGTGAGTCTCTTTTTACCAAAGGACTGTCAGCCTTCTTTCCGGTGATTTTAGGTTCTTGAGACGGGGGAGTTTGTTCATGGGCCCTTTAAGACTTGGGTCTTTTAGGCTTTCATCAAATAGCTTTTCTGGGGGTATCCCTGCTGCAGTTAATAGCCAGAAAAGTCAGATAGTAAGACCTTCGTCTCAGTTGTGCTGAGTCTAAAGGATGCTTATAGCAGTATAGGGGCCCCCGGTCAGGAACACACTCCTCCAGGGAGGGCTGCATATCATAGCGTGGCTCCCACCTGGCTGGCTGAGAAACTCCACTGCTCCTGAAGATGGCTTTTTTTTCCTCTCCAGAAGGAATTTCTGCCTCCTCCACCTTAGTCAGGACTGTCCCTTGTTGTGGGGGTTCTTTTTATCCAATTTTCAGTTTTCTATAAAGGGTAATTTTTCCAAAAATACTTGTAACCTCATTGTGCTTGTGGAAGGAGATGAGTTCAGAGTCTGCCTACACCACCATCTTGACATGATCTACACACTCTACTTTTTAATACTACTACCAACATCCACTTTTAAGCCACAATACTCCTGGATTGTTGTAAAAGTATTTTAACTTTATTGTGTTATTTCTAATACTTTTCCATTCAGGTCTCTGGATACTGCTCCATAATGGTGGCAGTGTGTCTATTTTGTGTATGCCTGAATAACCTGCTCTGAGTTCAGTGCCTGGTACATAAGTGACACTTGATCAATATTTGCCAATAAAAAATAGACGGATTAAATCAAATACAAGTTCAGCTGTTTGTGTGCCACTTATAAGCTATAAGATATTTAGATATATTACTGTCATCTTCTCTTTTCACTCAAACTGAAACTCTCAAATTTCCTTTCACTAAGAGTGTCACAACATTTCAGATTTTGAGGAAGTGTTAAGTGTAAGTGTGTGATGACCCTTTTCTAGATAAATAAATTATCTTAATAAATGACAGACTCTTTACTGGATATCCAAATTATCTTACACGTGCATAGTGAATGATATTCTCCCATTTTACAGAATGCCTTCTATGACAAGAACCATATGAACAATAAGCTAGATTTCCAAGTAGCTGTAAGAATTAGAATTCCCTTCCCCTGTTTGTAAGGCTAACCTCAGAGTTACCCAGAGCACAGTCAGTCCTCAGATCTGACTTACGAATATTCCAGCTGTGGGCACTGTCCTGCCCTTGAAAGAACGCCTGTTTCTTCATCAGTTGGACAAATTATATCCTGGGAATAGCTTCACTCCAGGCTCACCTTGATGGCAGGGCCATCTTTCTTGGAATTGACCTTTTTATGGGGTCTCCTAGCTCCAAGGACCTCAGAGTCAGAGTCTGTGCAGTGACCCCTGTTATAGAGATGAGATAGTGACACATTTATCACTGCTGGTTACAACTTAGTCTGAAAGGCTTTTTCTGTGGTAGGATCTAAATGCTAGAGTTCTGGAAGTTCAGAAAAGGAAAGGACACTAAAGTCAGAACCAACAAAATAGTAGGCTTTCCAAATCAGAAAATTGACTGGAATTTTAAATTCCATTCTTATGTCTTCCCCAGCCAAAGAGAGCCCCATTAAGGCACTAGATCTTGCTCTTTTCCACTGGAAAATGTGGCGACACCTGATCATACTTGAAACCTAACGAACTTCTCTTTTCCTTTTACACTCTCTACTGTCCTCTCTAGTCTTCTTTGCAACTGGCATCAGCTCATTTGTCACAACCTCAAAATACCTCCCTGAACCCTCTCTCTAATACTTCAACCTTTACTCTCTTTTCATTAAACTGTCTTCTTCTCTTTGTGGCAATTATCTGTCTGAATTCATCTTAATTATACTTTGCTGCTTTTTATGGTTTTTTTTTCTTTTGAGGAAGATTAGCCCTCAGCTCACTACTGCCAATCTCCCTCTTTTTGCTGAGGAAGACTGGCCCTGAGCTAACATCCATGCCCATCTTCCTCCGCTCTATAAGTGGGATGCCTACTACAGCATGGCTTTTGCCAAGCAGTGCCATGTCCGCACCCGGGATCAGAACCAGCAAACCCCGGGCCACAGAGAAGTGGGACTTGAGAACTCAACCACTGGGCCACCAGGCCGGACCCTGTTTTTTTTTTTAAAGATTGGTACCTGAGTTAACAACTTTTGCCAATCTTCTTTTTTTGTTCTGCTTTTTCTCCCCAAATCTTCCTAGTACATAGTTGTATATTTTGTTGTGTGTCCTTCTAGTTGTGCCATGTGAGACACTGTTTCCATGTGGCCTAGTGAGTGGTGCCATGTCCGTGCCCAGGATCTGAACCAGTGAAACACTGGGCGGCAGAAGCAAAGCACCTGAACTTAACCACGCCATTATGGCTCAGGCCCTTTTACTGTTTTTTTGTTTTTTTTTTTTAACTTCATCTACTAGAATGTAAGCACTGCGAGCAGGAAAGATATCTATAATTTTCCTACTGTGTCTTCCATGTCAGGCATGATTTCCTTTCAAATTATTTATCAATTAAGTGACTCAAATCAGTTTCCACAACCTCAATATACACATATCTATTTGCACTTCCAATAAATGCAGATGACATGATAGAATATTATTCATCCAACTTATTCTTTCCTTAAGCTTTTATTCCTCATGTGTTTAACACATGAGTCTGCTTTAATTTCTCAATAACCCTCGAAATAATGTTTTCCCTTCCATTAATCCTTTAAGCTTTCAGGCCACACCTTTCCTCTCTGGGACTTTTGACTTACCCTCTTGAGGATATGTCATTCCTTCTCGTCTTTTGCCTCCTACTGCATTCTAGACACAATGGGACTTCAGAGCAGAATTCTGCAATACTGTATGAGTGTTCTTGGGTGAGTGAGGGTCTCAGCATGTAGAATATGAGGAATAGGCAAAGAAGACATCATTTATGATGCACTTATAAGAAGAAATGCTGGTGCTATATCAAAGAAAAACCCAAGTTCAGGCAAACTATTTTTAGACAAATTTCAAGAGAGGCCACAGCATTTCATAAAAGGAGGAATTGACAAACAAGAACACGGAGATTTCTTAAAAACAAAGAACCATGTTTATTGAGAATAAGCGATTTGGCCCATTGTAGGATGTTAGGATCATCAACACAGTCATAACAGAGAACCCAGACTAAGGAAGTAATGCTAATATTTGGAAAATAGTCAGATGATACCTCAGGACCTCAGGCCACAATGATGCCATTCTGAAAATGGGTATTGGAGGTCAAAGCCTTTGTCAAGTTGTAATTTCTTGGGTATAGAAATCATGGGGTCCACATCCTTCAATCAGCATTATCCTTAGATACGCCATTTCAGGAGCAAATGAGGCTTGGATAGTGATGTTCTAGCAGCAAGAAGAGTAACATATTCTATAGCAAAATGGCCTGTAGCCACAGTAGCCAGAGCCGTACCCACAGCCATAGCTGGAGCCATAACCACAGCCATATCCAGTTCCATAACTGCAGCCATAACGGGGGCTATATCCACAGCCATATCTGGTTCCATAACCACAGCCATAGAGGGGGCTGTATCCACAGCCATAGCCAGTCCCATAACTGCAGCCATAATGGGGGCCAAACCCACAGCCATAGCCATATGTGCAGCCATAGCCACAGGAGTTGCCATAGTAGTTGCAACACATGTTGTCAGGAGAAGAGAATTCGGTTGGGTTGCAAGAGGAGGTTTCTGAAGTGTGTGTGTCTTCTACTTCTCCTGGCCCTTTATATACTGTCAGTAATTGGCAGAGCATACCATTCATCCCTGACTTAGCCACAAAATATGTAAACAACTCATATGTGCCAGTCACTGTTGTCAATCGTTAACAATGGTTTGCTTAAAATGAGGTCATTATTTTGGAGTCACCACTTTCAATTCAAGAGCATCCTTTACATTTACCCTGCCAAAGATTCTCTCAATAGAATCATGTGCCCAGATGTAAAACTGATACCCATTTTCAAACCCTCCTATTATTAAATAGCTACATTACACAACTATCTTGTGGGGGGCTGTAGGAAATCTTGTTCTTTTGCTCGCTACTCTACCCTAAGATGTCTACTTTGGCCCATAGGGAAGGAAATATTCCCATCTCCTTTCTTGAATCATTGCAACTTCTTGCCAGGCTTCTCTAACTGAGATACCTGCTGTCAGATGCCTACTAGTCTCTTGTGGTAGAAAACAAGGATGATGCTAATTCTACAGGGCACAGAACAGCCTCAACAACCAAGAAACATCTTGGCCAAAATGTGATGGCACTGAGATCAGAAATCTTGGTTTATATCTCTGCCTCTATAAATAAGCTCTTCTGTCCATAGGTGTCTAAATCCAAAGATCCCCTTTCCTCTCATTCTGTCCCAAACCTCCAACCTTTCCATCACTAAATGTGCAGTCAGAGAAAGATTTTTTTTGCTTGTTTATTTGTCTGGGGGGATTCCTTTTGTTTATCTTGCTTCTCTAGGTTTTACTTAAAACACCATTTTCAGAGTCCAGTGGACTCCACAAATAAATATTTCTTCCTGAAACAACCATGAAAGCCAAGTTGGAAGGGAGTAGAAACTCAGGAAGATCATTCTTTCTACTGGATAGTCACATTTCAACAACAAAGGAATGGGTGATAATCCACTACTTTATTAAGTACCTTCAACAGGCATTTTCACAAACCTGCTGATTTCATTTTCTGAGAAATTTCATTATTACACATTTTTCCTTCCTTAAGAAATCTTCCTATTTTTTTTATATTGGTCACAGGTCTAATCTGATCAATCTGTGATGTTTCATTCCTAATAGCAAAAGGGAAGAAAATATATCCCCACCCCAACTTTTCTTTTCCTTTGTTTTGTCTCCTTTTCTGTCATCTTTGAAATTCTAAACTATAAATTCTAATTCACAAATTCCCTGGCATAGACACTTTACTTTTTAATACTGCTGCCAACACCCACTTTTAGGCCACAATACTCCTGGATTGTTGAAAAAGTATTCAACTTTTATTCCATTATTTCTAATACTTTTCCATTCAGATCTCTGGATACTGCTCCATAATGGTGGCGGTGTGTCTATTTTGTGCAGCTCTGAATTACCTGCTCTGAGTTCAGTGCCTGGTACATAGTTGACACTTGATCAATATTTGCCAATAAAAAATAGATGGGTTAAATCAAATACTCATTCAGCTGTTGGTGTGCCACTTATAAGCTATAAGATATTTAGATATATTACTGCCATCTTCTCTTTTAACTTAAAGTTAAACTCTCAAGTTTTCTTTGACTAAGAGAGTGACAAGATTCAGACTTGGGGGAAGTGTTAAGTGAAAGTTTGTGAGGACCCTTTTCTAGATAAATAAATTATCTTAGTAAATGATAGGCTCTTTACTGGATACATAAATTATCTTACACAAGCCTACCGATATTCTTCCATTTGGCTGAATGCTTTCCATAATAAAAAAACATAATGAAACAATAAGTTAGATTTTTAAAGAGCTGTGATGATAAGAATTCCCTTCCCCTGTTTGTAAAGCTAACCTCAGAGTTACCCAGAGCACAGTCAGTCCTCAGATCTGACTTAACGAATGTTCAAGCTGTGAAAACTGTCCTGCATTTGAAAGAACTCCTGTTTCTTCATCAGTTGGACAAATTATATCTTGTGAATAGCTTCATTGCAGGCTCACTTTGATGGCAGGGCCATCTCTGTTGGATTTGGCCATTTTGTGGGGTCTCCTATCTCCAAGGACCTCAGAGTCAGAGTTTGTGCAGTGACCCTGTCATGGAAATGAGACAGTGACACATTTGTCATCGCTGGTTACAGCTGAGTCTGAAGGGCCTTTTCTGTGGTAGGATCTAAATGTTAGAGTTCTGGAAGTTCAGAAAAGGAAAGGGCACTAAAGTCAGTACCAAAAAAGTCATAGACCCTCTAACTGAGAACATTGACTGGAATTTTAAATTCCATTCTTATGTCTTCCCCAGCGAAAGAGAGCCCCATTAAGGCACTAGACTTTGCTCTTTTCCACTGGAAAATGTGGCAACATCTGATCGTGCTTGAAACCTAATAAAATTCTCTCCCCCCTTAACACTTGCTACCGTGCTCTCTAGTCTTCTTTGCAACTGGCATCAGCTCATTTGTCACAACCTCAAAATACTTCCCTGAACTCTCTCTAATACTTTAACTCTTACTTTCTTTCTCATTAAACTGTTTCATTCCCTCTGAGGTAATTATCTGTCTGAATTCATCTTAAGTATTCTTTATTTTTTAACTTCATCTACTAGAATGTAAACACTCTGAGAGCAGGTCATATGTCTATAATTTTCCTACTGTGTCTTCAGTGTCGGGGATGGTTTCATGTGAAAAATATTTGTCAATTAACCACTTAAACCAACCTCCACAACCTCAATATATGCAAATCTATTTTTACTTCCTTGAAATGAAGATGATGTGATAGAATATTATTCTTCTAACTTATTCATTCTTTAAGTTTTTATTCCTCGTGTGCTTAACAATGAGTCTGCTTCTAATTTCTCAATAACGCTAGAAATGATCTTTTTCATTCCATTAATCCTTTAAGCTCAGAGGCCACATAGTCTCTCTCCAGAACTGTTGTTCTGACCTATTGAAGATGCGTCATCCCTTCTCTTCTTTCCCCTCCTGCTGCCTTCTAGAAACAATGCAATTTCACAACACCACTCTGCAGTACTGTGTGAGTGTTCCTGGGTAAGGAAAGGTCTGAGCATATGGAATATGAGGATTAGGTGAAGAAGACATCATTTATGATGCAGGGATAAGAAGAAATGCTTGTACTATGCTGAAGAAAAATCCAAATTCAGGCAAGCTATTTTTAGACAAATTTCCAGACAGGCCATATCATTTCAAAAAACGAGTTGACAAACAAGTATACAGAGATTTCTTAGAAACAAAGAACCATTTTTATTGAGAATAAGCGATTTGGCCCATTGTAGGATGTTAGGATCATCAACACAGTCATAACAGAGAACCCGAGTCTAGGGAAGTAATGCTAATATTTGGAGAATAGTCAGATGTCACCTCAGAGCCTCAGGCCACAATGATGCCATTCTAAAAGTGGGTATTGGAGATCAAAAATTCTGTCAAGTTATAATTTCTTGGGTATAGGACTCATGGGGTCCACATCCTTCAATCAGCGTTATCCTTAGATACGCCATTTCAGGAGCAAATGAGGCTTGGATAGTGATGTTCTAGCAGCAAGAAGAATAACAGCTTCTATAGCAAAGTGGCCTGTAGCCACAGTAGCCAGAGCCGTACCCACAGCCATAGCTGGAGCCATAACCACAGCCATATCCAGTTCCATAACTGCAGCCATAACGGGGGCTATATCCACAGCCATATCCGCAGCCATATCTGGTTCCATAACCACAGCCATAGAGGGGGCTGTATCCACAGCCATAGCCAGTCCCATAACTGCAGCCATAATGGGGGCCAAACCCACAGCCATAGCCATATGTGCAGCCATAGCCACAGGAGTTGCCATAGTAGTTGCAACACATGTTGTCAGGAGAAGAGAATTCGGTTGGGTTGCAAGAGGAGGTTTCTGAAGTGTGTGTGTCTTCTACTTCTCTTGGCCCTTTATATACTGTCAGTAATTGGCAGAGCATACCATTCATCCCTGACTTAGCCACAAAATATGTAAACACCTTTTATTTGCCAGTTGCTGTTGACAATCGTTAACAATGGTTTGCTTAAAATGAGCTCATTATTTTGGAGTCACCACTTTCAATTCAAGAGCCTCATGTATATTTACTCTGCCAAAGATTGTCTCAATAGAATCATGTGCCCAGATGTAAAACTGATACCCATTTTCAAACCCTCCTATTATTAAATAGCTACATTACACAACTATCTTGTGGGGGGCTGTAGGAAATCTTGTTCTTTTGCTCGCTACTCTACCCTAAGATGTCTACTTTGGCCCATAGGGAAGGAAATATTCCCATCTCCTTTCTTGAATCATTGCAACTTCTTGCCAGGCTTCTCTAACTGAGATACCTGCTGTCAGATGCCTACTAGTCTCTTGTGGTAGAAAACAAGGATGATGCTAATTCTACAGGGCACAGAACAGCCTCAACAACCAAGAAACATCTTGGCCAAAATGTGATGGCACTGAGATCAGAAATCTTGGTTTATATCTCTGCCTCTATAAATAAGCTCTTCTGTCCATAGGTGTCTAAATCCAAAGATCCCCTTTCCTCTCATTCTGTCCCAAACCTCCAACCTTTCCATCACTAAATGTGCAGTCAGAGAAAGATTTTTTTTGCTTGTTTATTTGTCTGGGGGGATTCCTTTTGTTTATCTTGCTTCTCTAGGTTTTACTTAAAACACCATTTTCAGAGTCCAGTGGACTCCAAAAATAAATATTTCTTGCTGGAACAACTATGAAATCCAACTTAGAAGGGAGTAGAAACTCAGGAAGATCATTCTTTCTACTGGATAGTCACATTTCAACAACAAAGGAATGGGTGATAATCCACTACTTTATTAAGTACCTTCAACAGGCATTTTCACAAACCTGCTGATTTCATTTTCTGAGAAATTTCATTATTACACATTTTTCCTTCCTTAAGAAATCTTCCTATTTTTTTTATATTGGTCACAGGTCTAATCTGATCAATCTGTGATGTTTCATTCCTAATAGCAAAAAGGGAGAAAATATATCCCCACCCCAACTTTTCTTTTCCTTTGTTTTGTCTCCTTTTCTGTCATCTTTGAAATTCTAAACTATAAATTCTAATTCACAAATTCCCTGGCATAGACACTTTACTTTTTAATACTGCTGCCAACACCCACTTTTAGGCCACAATACTCCTGGATTGTTGAAAAAGTATTCAACCTTTATTGCAATATTTCAAATACTTTTCCATTCAGATCTCTGGATACTGCTCCATAATGGTGGCGGTGTGTCTATTTTGTGCAACCCTGAATAACCTGCTCTGAGTTCAGTGCCTGGTACATAGTTGACACTTGATCAATATTTGCCAATAAAAAATAGATGGATTAAATCAAATACACGTTCAGCTGTTTGTGTGCCACTTATAAGCTATAAGATATTTAGATATACTGCAGCCATCTTCTCTTTCCACTCAAACTGAAACTCTCAAATTTTCTTTGACTAAGAGAGTGACAAGATTTCAGACTTGGAGGAGGTGTTAAGTGTAAGTTTGTCAGGACCCTTTTCTAGATAAAAAAATTATCTTAATAAATGATAGACTCTTTACTGAATACACAAATTATCTTACACATGCCTAGTAAGTGATATCCTTCCATTTTGCAGAATGCTTTCCATAATTAAAAAAGACAATGAAATAATAAGTTAGATTTCTAAGGAACTGTAAGTATTAGAACTCCCTTCCTCCTGTTTGTAAGGCTAACCTCAGAGTTACCCAGAGCATGGTCAGTCCTCAGATCTGACTTAACGAACGTTCAAGCTGTGAAAACTGTCCTGCCCTTGAAAGAACCCCTGTTTCTTCATCAGTTGGACAAATTATATCCTGGGAATAGCTTCATTGCAGGCTCACCTTGATGGCAGGTCCATCTCTGTTGGATTTGGCCATTTTGTGGGGTCTCCTAGCTCCAAGGACCTCAGAGTCAGAGTTTTTGCAGTGACCCCTGTTATAGAGATGAGACAGTAACACATTTATCACTGCTGGTTACATCTGAGTCTGAAAGGCTTTTTCTGTGGTAGGATCTAAATGTTAGAGTTCTGGACGTTCAGAAAAGGAAAGGACACTAAAGTCAGAACCAACAAAGTCGTAGGCTCTCTAATTGGGAATATTGACTGGAATTTTAAATTCCATTCTTATGTCTTCCCCAGCCAAAGAGAGCCCCATTAAGGCACTAGATCTTGCTCTTTTCCACCGGAAAATGTGGCGACACCTGATCATACTTTAAACCTAACGAACTTCTCTTTTCCTTTTACACTCTCTACTGTCCTCTCTGGTCTTCTTTGCAGCTGGCATCAGCTCATTTGTCACAACCTCAGAATAACTCCCTAAACTCTCTCTTTAGTACTTCAACCCTTACTCTCTTTTTCATTTTGCTGTTTTATTCCCTCTGTAGCAATTAGCTGTCTAAATTCATCTTTATTATACTTTTCTGGGTTTTTGTCTTTTTTTTTAAAGATTGGCACCTGAGCTAACTGTTACCAATCTTCTTTTTTTTTCTGTTTTTTCTCCCCAAATCCCCCCAGTACATAGTTGCATATTTTAGTTGTGGGTCCTTCTAGTTGTGGCATGTTGATGCCGCCTCAGTGTGGCCTGATGAGCAGTGCCATGTCCGGGTCCAGGATCCAAACCAGCGAGACCCTGGGCCGCCGAAGCAGCACGCGTGAACTTGGCCACGGGCCAGCCCCTTTACTGTGTGTGTGTTTTTTTTTTAACTTCATCTACTAGAATGTAAATGCTGAGAGCAGGAAAGATGCGTATAATTTTCCTACTGTGTCTTCAGTATCAGGGATGATTTCCTTTCCAAAATATTTATCAATTAAGTGATTCAAATCAGTTTCCAAAACCTCAATATATGCATATGTATTTGAACTTCCATTTAATGCAGATGACATGTAGAATACTACTATTCTAACATTCTTTCCTTAAGTTTTTCTTCTTCATGTGCTTAACACCTGAGTTTGCTTTAATTTCTCAATAACCCTGGAAAAATGTTCTCCCTTCCATTAATCCCCTAAGCTTTCAGGCCACACCTTTTCTCTCTGGGACTTTTGACTTACTCTCTTGAGGATATGTCATTACTTCTCTTCTTTCCCCTTGTGCCCCATCTAGACGCAATGCGATTTCAGCACAATTCTGAAATACTGTATGAGTGTTCTTGGGTAAGTGAGTGTCTGAGCAAGTGGAATATGAGAAATAGGTGAAGAAGACATCATTTATGATGCAGGTATAAGAAGAAATGCTTGTACTGTATCAAAGAAAACTCCAAATTCAGGCAAGCTATTTTTAGCCAAATTTCAAGAGAGGCCATAACATCTCATAAAAGGAGTAATTGACAGGCAAGGATACAGAGATTTCTTAGAAACAAAGAACCATTTTTATTGAGAATAAGTGATTTGGCCAACTGTAGGATGTTAGGATCATCAACACAGTCATAACAGAGAACCCCAGACTAAGGACGTAATGCTAATATTTGGAGAATAGTCAGACGACACCTCAGAGGCTCAGGCCACAATGATGCCATTCTAAAAATGGGTAATTGGAGGTCAAAGCCTTTTTCAAGTTGTAATTTCTTGGGTTTAGAAATCATGGAGTCCAGATCCATGAATCAGCATTATCTTTAGATACGCCATTTCAGGAGCAAATGAGCCTTTGATAGGGATGTTCTAGCAGCAAGAAGAGTAACATCTTCTATAGCAAAATGGCCTGTAGCCACAGTAGCCAGAGCCAGAGCCGTATCCACAGCCATAGTAGGAACCATATCCATGGCAGTATCCAGTTCCATAGCCACAGCCGTAACGGGGCCCATAGCCACAGCCATAACCAGAGCCATACCCACAGCCATAATGGGGGCCAAATCCACAGCCATAGCCATATCTGCAGCCATAGCCACAGGAGTTGCCATAGTAGTTGCAACACATGTTGTCAGGAGAAGAGAATTCAGACGGGTTGCAAGAGGAGGTTTCTGAAGTATGTGTGTCTTCCGCTTCTCCAGGACCTTTACATACTGTCAGTAATTGGCAGAGCATACCATTCATCCCTGACTTAGCCACAAAATATGTAAACAACTCGTATGTGCCAGTTGCTGTCGACAATCATTAACAATGGTTTGCTTAAAATGAGCTCATTATTTTGGAGACTCCAGTTTCATTTAAAGAGCATCGTTTACATTTACTCTGCCAAAGAATTATCTCAATAGAATCATGTGCCTGAAAGTAAAACTGATACCCATTTTCAAACCCTCCTATTATTAAATAGCTACCTCACACAACTAGGTTTTGGCAGATTGTAGGAAAATTTTGCCCTTTTGCTCTCTATTCTTTCCCAAAATGTCTACCTTTCCCCATAGGGAAGGAAGTATTCCCATCTCCTTTCTTGAATCATTGCAACTTCTTGCCAGGCTTCTCCCACTCAGCTACCTACTGTCTGATACCTACTAGCTTCTTGTGGTAGAAAACAGGGATGATGCTAATTCTCTAAGGCACAGAACAGCTCCCAACAACCAGGAAACATCTTGGTCAAATGTCGTAGCGCTGACATCTGGAAACCTTGGCTTATAGCTCTGCCTCTATAAATAAGCTCTTCTATCTATAGGTGTCTCAATCCAAACGTGCCCTTTCCTTTCATTCTATCCCAAACCTCCGACCTTTCCATCACCAAATGTGCAGTCAAAGAAAGTGTTTTTGTTTGTTTGTTTATCTAGTGGGGGGGGATTTTTTTTGCTTATCTTAATTCTCTAGGTTTTAATTAAATCACCATTTTCAGAATCAGGCTGACTCCAAACCTAATTTTTTTTTTACTGTAACAACTATGAGTCCATGTTGGAAGGGAATATAAACTCAGGATGATCATTCCTTCTACTAGATACTTGAATTTCAACTACAAAGGAATGAGCGGCAATACACTACTTTATTAAATGCTTTAATAGAGATTTACAAACCTGTCAATTTCATTTTCTCAGCAATTTCCTTAGCAGACAGTTAATCTTCCTACCTATTTTCTTCTGATATTGGTCACTCATCTAATCTGATCACAGTTATGTTTCATCCTTAACCATAAGCATACAGAAAACACATCTCCATTCCAATTCTTTTTCCCTTTGTTTTCTCTCTTTTTCCATCCTCCCTGAAATTCAAAACTATAAATTCTGTTCCTACAAATTCCCTGGCATAGACACTTTACTGTTTAATACTACTACCAATACCCACTTTCAGGCCCCAATACCCCTGGATTATTGAATAAGTATTTTATCTTATTGCATTATTTCTACTACTTTTCAATTCAGATCTCTAGATACTGATCCATAACAGTGGAAACAGTCTTTATTTTGTGCATCTCCAAATAACCAGCTCTGAGTTCAGTGCCTGGCACATGATTTACAATCACTATTTTGCCGATAAAATATAGATGGATTAAATAAAAATATGTTTAAATGTTGGTGTGCCATTTATAAGCTATAAGATATCTAGATAGATTACCGCCAGTTTCTCATTTCATTCAAACTGAAAGTCTCAAATTTTCTTTGACTACGAGAGTCACCACTTGTCAGATTTTGAAGATATGCTAGGCGTTAGTTTGTGAAGACCATTTTCTTGATATATAAATTATCTTGCACATGCCTAATAAATGATAGACACTTTACTGCATGCATGCTATCTTATACATGCCTAATAAATAATATTCTTACATTTCTCAGAATGCCTTTTATGACAAGAAACATAATGAAACAATAAATTAGATTTTTAAAGAGCTGTGATGATAAGAATTCCCTTCCCCTATTTGTAAGGCTAACCTCAGAGTTACTCAGACCACACTCAGTCCTCAGATCTGACTTACGAAAGTTCCAGCTGTGAACACTGTCCTGCCCTTGAAAGAACCCCTGTTTCTTCACCAGTTAGACAAATTGTATCCTGGGAATAGCCTCACTTCAGGGCTCACTTTGATGACAGGGCCATCTTCCTTAGAATTGGCCACTTTGTGGGGTCTTCTAGCTCCAGGGACCTCAGGGTCAGACTGTGTACCGCGACCCCTGTCATGAAGCTAAGACAGTGACACATTTATCATTGCTGGTTAGAACTTAGTCTGAAAGGCTTTTTCTGTGGTAGGATCTAAGTGTTAGAGTTCTGGAAGTTCAGAAAAGGAAAGGACACTAAAGTCAGAACCCAAGAAAGTCGCAGGCTCTCCAACTCAGAAAATTGACTGGAATATTTAATTCCATCCTTATGTCTTCCCCAGCCAAAGAGAGCCCCATTAAGGCACTAGACCTCGCTGTTTTGTTTTGTTTTGAGGAAGATTAGCACTGAGCTAACATTTGCCACCAATCCTCCTCTTTTTGCTGAGGAAAACTGGGCCTGAGCTAACATCCGTGCCCATCTTCTTCTATGGTTTGATAAGCGGTGCCTAGGTCCATGCCTGGGATCCGCACCAGCAAACCCCAGGCTGCCAAAGGGGAACGTGAGAACTTAACCACTGTGCGACCAGGCTGACCCCTAGACCTTGCTCCTTTCCACTGGAAAATGTGGCACCACCTGATCATACTTGAAAGCTAATGAACTTCTCTTCCCTGTTTATGCTGCTGATGTCCCCGCTGGTCTTCTTTGCAACTGGTATCAGCTCATTTGTCACAACCTCAAAACACCTTCCTGAACTCTCTCTCTAAAACTTCAACCCCTATTCTCTTTCCCTTAGGCTGTTTTATTTCCTCCGCAGCAATTTGTCTGAATTTATCTTAATTCTTACTTGGCTTTTTTTATCTTCACCTACCACAATGTAAACACTCTGAGAGGAGGAAATTTGTCAATAATTTTCCTACTGTGCCTTCAGTGTCTAGAATGGTTCCCTGTCCAAAAGAGTCAAAAGTACTTATCGGTTAAGTGGCTCACATCAATTTCCACTACCTCAGTATTTGCAAATCCACACGTATTTCCATCAAATACAGATGATATGATAGAAGACTATTCTTCTAACTTTTCCTTTCTTTAGGTTTGTATTCTTTATGCTTAACACCTGAGTCTGCTTGTAATTTCTCTTTGACCCTGGAAACTTTCTCTTGCATTGTGTTACTACTTTAAGCACTCAGGCCACATCGCTTCTCCTTGGGATTTTTGTCATGACCTCCTGAATAGGTGTCAATCCTCCTCTCCTTTCCCCTCCAGCTCCATTCTAGACTCCAGTATGATTTCCAAGGCACGGTTCTGAAATCCTGTGTGAATTTTGCCTGAGTATGTGGGTATCTGAGCATGTGGAATATGAGAAACAGATGAAGGAGGCGTAGTTTATGATGCAGGTATAAGAAGAAATGCTTGTATGATATCAAAGAAGCTCCCAAGGTTCAGGCAACACGTTGTCAACCCAGTTTTCAAGAGGAGCCATAACACCTCAGAAAAGAAGTAATTCACAAGAAAGTACACAGAGATTTGTTAGAAACAAAGCATCATTTTTATTGAGAATAAATGATTTGCCACACTGTAGGATGTTAGGATCATCAACACAGGCATAACGGAGAATTTCGGATTAAGGGAGTGAAGGCTAACATTTGGAAAATAGTCAGATGACACCTCAGAGCCTCGGACCACTAAGATACCGTTCTAAAAACGGGTAGTTGGAGGTCAAAGCCTCTGCAAAGCATGTAATTTCTTGAATCTAGAAATCATGGGGTACAGATCCCTGGGTGAACATTATCTTTAGACATGTCATCTCAGAAGCAAACAAGGTTTGGATAGGGATGTTCTAGCAGCAAGAAGAATAATATCTTCTATAGCAAAATGGCCTGTACCCGCAGTAGCCAGAGCCAGAGCCGTATCCACAGCCATAGCTGGAGCCATAACTACAGCCATATCTGGTTCCATAACCACAGCCATATCCAGTCCCATAACTGCAGCCATAATGGGGGCCATAGCCACAGCCATAGCCACAGCCATAGCCGGTCCCATAACTGCAGCCATAATGGGGGCCAAACCCACAGCCATAGTCATATCTGCAGCCATAGCCACAGGAGTTGCCATAGTAGTTGCAACACATGTTGTCAGGAGAAGAGAATTCAGGCGGGTTGCAAGAGGAGGTTTCTGAAGTGTGTGTCTTCTACTTCTCCTGGCCCTTTATATACTGTCAGTAATTGGCAGAGCATACCAGAGCATACTCTGACTTACTCAAAAAATATATTAAAAACTCTTTTATGAGCCAGTCACTGTTAACATTCAATAACGGTTTGCTGAAAATGAGCTCATTATTTTGAAAACTCTAGTTTTATTTAAAGAACATCATTTAAATTTTCCCTGCCAAAGAATTGTCTCAATAGAATCATGTGCCCAAAAGTAAAACTGATACCCATTATCAAAACCTGATACAGATACCTGTAATTAGCATTTGATATATATATATATATCTCAGGTCCAATATATATAGTTATATTTTATATATATATAAAATATATATATATTATATGTGTATAACCTCAATACTGTCCATATATTACCTCAATTGCAAAATTCCATGTGCAATGCAACTCAGCACTCCGCTGCAACATAGCCTTCTCATATGCTAAAAATGGCTTGGGATAAGCAAAGAATTAATGGAAAAAATATATTTTTCAATGAACTTCAACTTTGCATTCCTATCACTAAAAGATTAGAAAATTTATCCACATCCATAATAGAGTAGACTAGGGTTCAACATCACCTACCAGAATTTCTCAAACTTTTATCATGAGTGGTTTTCCTTGCAATGATCTAGGTGGGTTAGATTATTGGGAAGTGATCATAAAGACATCTGCTCCACCTCTTGATATTTTGGAAAAGCCTTAGAACTTAGGAGAAATGGAAGTGCTATGTGGAGCTGGGCATCATGCCTTGCCCTGCCTTTTCCCTCTCACCTTGGTTCTTCCATGGGGTACACCACTGCCAATAGCACTTTTCATGCAGTAAGGTCCCACTGGAATCAAGTAATGAGAAAAACCCCACTC